CCTATAAATGTCGAATTCAGATATGAGATATTACAACCTATAAATGTCGAATTTAGGTATGAGATATTACAACCTATAAATGTCGAATTCAGATATGAGATATTACAACATATAAATGTCGAATTTAGGTATGAGATATTACAACCTATAAATGTCGAATTCAGATATGAGATATTACAACCTATAAATGTCGAATTCGATTCATTGTAATCCCTTTAAGGTCAAGAAACTATAAAAAAGGGTTCTCCTCTTTAATTATTTTGAATGAATTGTTAACGAAATTTTAATTTAAATATGTTGCATAAAGAATTGAAGAAGGATGACTTAAAAAAGAAAATACGTATTATTGAAATTCTTTTTAAGTTTGTTTTCTCATGCTGTGCTGTGGGGTTTCAAGAATAAATAAAAAAACATGATTATAAGAAAATGCTTTATCTTTATTCCAATGAGATCTCAGTTTCTCATGAAATATTATTTTTATTTTCTAATTAAAATAATAAACCTTAGAAAGAAAGTTGCATAACAAATATTTCGGCAGCTATAAAAAGTTGTATCAGTTTAACAGACCTTAGCTGGAAACTTTAGAATGGGATACATGTAATCCTAACTGCTTAATCCGAATTTTAATTTCTAGCTTAATCCACCTTAGCTGGAAACTTTAGAATGGGATACCTGTAATCCTAACTGCTTAATCCGAATTTTAATTTCTGGCTTAATCCACTCTTTTTCAGATAAAGTACAGAAATTTCAAAGACCTGTTTTTTAAAAATTAGAGAGACCCTCCCGTTTCTGTACAGTAATCTTAATTGGCGCGAAAAATTTCAAATTTCCCGGCTTCTGAAACACGAATCTGATTGGTTGAATTTAATACACTTTTCAGGATACAAGACTATCGACTTAGTCTCGAGATGAAGAAAAAGAGAGGATCAAGCATTGATCTCCTTACCATTTCCGGCTCTAGTCGATTTTAATAACGTTTCAACACTTTTTCAACACAAATTAAGTCATGTATACTTTTTATGGACCTAGACATTTTAAACTGTTAAGAATTTGTTCTTAGATTTAGCTTTAAAGAAGTAATTGTCAAAACTTTCATAATGTTTTTGAATGTTAACTTTTCTGAAATTTAAGCCACAAAACCATTGATTTATAGATGGAAGTGCAACTTTTATTAATGAAATGATGAACAGTAAGCGGCGAACGCTAATGACAAATTAAGAAGGTTATCGAACGGCACGCGGACCCTTATTAACGAGTAGGTTAGCTCTTCCACTCGCCCTGGATAGTTAGTGGAGTTGGTTACCTCTTCCACCCGCCCAGGTTAGTTAATGGAGTTGGTTAGCTCATCCACTCACCCTGGTTCGTTAGTTGAGTTGGTTAGCTCTTCCACTCACCCTGGTTAGTTAGTTTAGTTGGTTAGCTCTTCAACTCACCCTGGTTAGTTAGTTGAGTTGGTTAGCTCTTCCACTCACCCTGGTTAGTTAGTTGAGTTGGTTAGCTCTTCCACTCACCCTGGTTAGATAGTGGAGTTGGTTAGCTCTTCCACCCACCCTGGTTAGTTAGTTAAGTTGGTTAGCTCTTCCACTCACCCTAGTTAGATAGTGGAGTTTGTTAGCTCTTCCACCCACCCTGGTTAGTTAGTTGAGTTGGTTAGCTCTTCCACTTACCCTGGTTAGATAGTGGAGTTGGTTAGCTCTTCCAACCACCCTGGTTAGTTAGTTGAGTTGGTTAGCTCTTCCACTCACCCTGGTTAGTTAGTTGAGTTGGTTAGCTCTTCCAACCACCCTGGTTAGTTAGTTGAGTTGGTTAGCTCTTCCACTTACCCTGGTTAGTTAGTTGGGTTGGTTAGCTCTTCCACCTGGTTAGATAGTGGAGTTGGTTAGTGTAACATTTAATCCCTTGATATCGTTACAATCCCAGACATAAATCCTAGGGAAATCAAGATCAATCCTTGCCCCCCATCTTTGAGGGTGAATACAAGGCTTCACTTTAATTCCCAGTACCAGTTCATAATTCATCCAAACCTCTCTTCTTGTGTATAGTATCTATCTCTCAAGGTCTTGAATAAGTGGGTGGTTTAACATTACACATTTTATTGGTACAAATATATCTGTTAATATCTATTTATATTAAATCATATTTCATATATTTGTAGAGTTCTGCAGTGGTGGAACCAGTCTCCACTAGCTCTTATATAGAAGAGTCCCTCAGCAGTTAAGCAAGTCTCCACTAATTCTTCTATGAGGAAGAGTCCCTCAGCAGTTAAGCAAGTCTACACTAACTCTTATATGAGGAAGAGTCCCTCAGCAGTTAAGTAAGTCTCCACTAACTCCTAAATATGAAGAGTCCCTCAGCAGTTAAGCAAGTCTCCACTAACTCCTATATATGAAGAGTCCCTCAGTGGTTAAGCAAGTCTCCACTGACTCTTATATATGGAGAGTCCCTCAGTGGTTAGGCAAGTCCCCACTGACCTTTATGTAGGAAGAGTCCCTCGGTAGTTCATCTGAGCCTCTGTTCCCTGCTGGGCTAGATGTGGTCTCAGCTGATCCTTCTATAGATAATAAAACTGGTGATCTCCTGATCAATCCTAGCTATCTATCAATCTGCTACAGACCTATGATCTTCTCCTGTGATACTTGTAACTGGTGATTTATGATCATCCTAGTTTTCTGTCAATCTGCTGTAGATCTATGATCTCATACTTGCAGTTCTCCTGTGGTTCATATAGCTGGTGATCTTTGTGATCCATCCTAGCTCTCTATCAATCTTCTCTGGATCTCTAGTCTCCACAGTATCTGCAACTTCCACAGTATCTGCAGTATCCTCAATATCCGCAGTATCCACAGTATTTGCAGCATTCCTAATACCTGCAGTATCCACAGTATCTGCAGTATCCTCCATATCTGCAGTGTCCACAATATCTGCAGTATCTTCAATATCTGCAGTATCCTTCATATCTGCAATATCGGCAGTATCCACATTATCTGTAGTCTGCTCTGCATCTCTGTTGATCTACGATCTGCTCTATATCTCTGTGATCTGTTGGATGCTCTGCATCTCGATTGATCTCCCATCTACTTGATATCTCTTTATCCATTCTATAGTTCCAGCAATCCTCGGAGCCTCTAGTGTTTCTAACCATAGGAACACCTGGGATATTAGAGTGTGTAGGTAGTTGAACCAGCTGTATAGAGGTGGAACTACATTGCTCTGATTCCATTGTCTGCTCTATAGCTCCAGTGTTTCTAACCATAGAAACATTTGGAGTATTAGAGTGTGTGGGTAGTTGAACCAGCTATACTGAGGTGGAACCACATATTTCTGATTCTACTGATATCTATCTCATCAATGGTTTATTCCTCTGATCTGTTGTAACCTGAGATATCTGTGTGTAGGTAGTTGAACCAGCTGTATAGAGGTGGAACTACATCTCTCTGATTCTCTGGTCTGTTCTACAGCTCCAGTGTTGCTAACCATAGAAACATCTGGAGTATCAGAGTGTGTGGGTAGTTGGACCAGCTGTACTGAGGTGGAACCACACTGTTCTGTTCCTATTCTCTGTTCCATCTAGGATATCCATCTAATCCGTCATAAACCTGAGTATCAGACTCATTAATGGTTTATTGTTGTATTCTTCTGTATTCTGTATTCCTGAAGATATGATTTTGTAGATACATGTAAGTCCACATGTTGTAAGCCTTCTGAGAGCTGTCCATGAAGTGCCCGTCCCCCAGCCTTGGTTGAACAAACGGAGCTTGGCTCATACGTCTGTTCTATTCAAGGATCTGGGGTGCACTGTTGAATCTTAATGAATCAGTTCAGGTTAACTACTCCGCATTCGTTAAAGGAACAAAGAGATAAAGGTGTGAGGCTGGGGGGAGGTTTTTAGCATTAGTCACCTATACTTTAAATATTTTATTAGCTCTTCCACCAAAACGAACTGCGACTTGATCAGTTTGTCCTCTCTGTTTAATTTTTCGAACCGTTTGGAACCGGTGGAAAGAAGTTCGAACTTGCACAATCCTTTTTTTAATCTTAAGTTCTTTCAAAAATATTTACTTGGAAAAGATGATTTTTATTTTAAGAGAAAGCAAGGTAATCATGGATTAACAAAAGATTAGAAAATAGGGATAACATCCTTGTGGATAAGTCGTTTTTATTTGCCCCCTTTTATATAGGGTTAGCCACAAAGGATGAGACTTCAGAGACGACTGTACGGAATTAAAACTGTTTCTCTCTTTGTAAGATCATTATATTAGACTAAATCAAAAGCAGGTTGTTTTATTTTAGGAGTTTCAGGTCGTCTTTACAGTCTCTTTCTATGCGGGTCACCCTGTATATTTGATAATCAAATTTGTATTTTCAACCATCCATCTATGTGTGGTTTCCTAACAAGGGTGTGTNCGGAACCGTCATGTCTGTACCAAAAGAGTGTTTGTAAGGAATACCGAACCGAAGGCGTGTAGTGTAAGTATATACAGTACATAAGAATCTCAGTAATTGTACAGTGCAGTCTAGGAGAGTAATGTTAATTGTTTACATAAAAATAAGTTTAGTTTACATGTAATATATTTTTACATAAATAAGTCATCTCTATAAGCCAAATTTTCATGCAAAGAATATAATTTGATTAAAGTTTACAACGACTCGTTATTCAAGCTTAATTATAATTGACGACATTGTTCTGCAATTTCCTTTACCGTAGTCATGTACCAAAAGAGTGAGACTGGCTTTCTCATGCCAGACCAGCGCCATTTCCCTTCTCTTTATTCCTAACCTACTGACAACAAAGATTTTGGGTTCCCAATTTCTATTGGAATCTCAAGATAATGGAAATTTTTCAATCCAATGATTTCTTGAAGCTGTGGGGGGGGGGAGTGTATATATCCTTAATCCCTTCCATTCTTCTCTTCAATATGGCTAAATATAGTGAATGAATACGATCAACAATATTATTTATTTACTAAGTCGAAGTATAGAGAAAATTAAAAATAAATTACATGAAAAAATTAGGAAAATAAATTCGTCAAGAAAAGTCAATTTTCAAGGAATTTTGTAATTTAGTTTTATTTGTAACAACAATTTAATATTGTTTACAGATATTTATCATATGTACATGTTTATCTGTTCTATACAGGTTTGATTATGTACATTGTACGTCAGGTTTGATTATATGTACATCACAGCCAAATAAAAAGCTTTTTAGCGCTAAAAAAACAAATGAAATTCTAGGTTGTAATTAAGATTTACAGGTACCAAAAATGATTGAAAAATGGTTTTAAAAAATGTAATGATATAGGTCTTGCATGTTCATGTTCATGTTCATATCAGTAAGAACTTTTGTGTTTATTGTTTGTGCAAAATTAAATTTACTTTCTAAAAGTTATAAACATGGACAAGCCTTTCTATCCTGCGTTTACAAGCAATCTCAAGATGGTCCCACTAGACCTGGCTGTTAAAAGGCAAATTTAAGATCGTCTTCTACCTTTAAGATAATTTGCAGCATTCTTTCCACAACCTTTAGCCCAGCATTTCCAAAACGTGGTCCGTCTTTTTTTGATCATTTTAATTTGCAGGAGAAAGCAAAGAATTTTCCAAACCAAAGCTATTCAATCCCAGCAATTTGATGATGTTGCATTAGGCAACTTCTGAAATATGCCGGTAAAAAGGTATTTCAGCTTTAAGCCAATGCACCCCCTTATATAGTTTAACAAGAAACAAAAGCACACCTCATCCAAACTAAGTTTTAAAATTAAAGCTCTGGATGAATCTGTACTTTTTGTACAATTTATCTATTTCGATTTTAGCTGCCGGAGTTAAAAGCAAATCATGTAAAACGTAACGCTTTTTATGTACTTTGTACATATACAGATATATATATGTACAAGTACAAGACACCAGGAATATTTAAGCTCATGGTTTCACATTCGAACAAACCGATTTTTCTAATGGGAATAAGATGACGATTCTTGCTACAGAACTGCATAAATTTAAGATTACAAATATATGTCAGGAATGTAATATTTGGTTAGATGGCGTAGACCTTAGATATTTCAAACTATGAATTCTATCTTAAAATTTTGTTTGAAGTATACAATTTTACACCATAAGTTTGCAAAGATATACAAATTAGAAAATTTGAGTTTGTGTCAAAGACTTAATTCTTTTGAGTTGAGGGAGAAGCTTTGAACTTAAGCTTGTATGTTTTCAGTTCAGCAGAAACCATTCTCTAGACTTAGAGTACATAAAGTAGAGAACTTTAATCCGCATGATGTTTGAGTGAAGTAGAGAGCTTAAATCCTCATGATGTTTGAGTGAAGTAGAGAACTTTAATCCTCATGATGTTTGAGTAAAGTAGAGAGCTTAAATCCTCATGATGTTTGAGTGAAGTAGAGAACTTTAATCCTCATGATGTTTGAGTAAAGTAGAGAGCTTAAATCCTCATGATGTTTGAGTGAAGTAGAGAACTTTAATCCTCATGATGTTTGAGTGAAGAAGAGAACTTAAATCCGCATGATGTTTGAGTGAAGTAGAGAACTTTAATCCGCATGATGTTTGAGTGAAGTAGAGAACTTTAATCCTCATGATGTTTGAGTAAAGTAGAAAGCTTAAATCCTCATGATGTTTGAGTGAAGAAGAGAACTTAAATCCTCATGATGTTTGAGTAAAGTAGAGAACTTTAATCCTCATGATGTTTGAGTGAAGTAGAGAGCTTAAATCCTCATGATGTTTGAGTGAAGTAGAGAACTTTAATCCTCATGATGTTTGAGTAAAGAAGAGAGCTTAAATCCTCATGATGTTTGAGTGAAGTAGAGAGCTTTAATCCTCATGATGTTTGAGTGAAGTAGAGAACTTTAATCCTCATGATGTTTAAAGTATAATTTAATCCTCTTTTTACTTCAGTTGGAGTAGAGAAGTTTAATGATAATGATGTTCCAGCTTTATATAATGCTCTGTTTATACTTGAGAATAGAATTTGAGAGTTATTTCTTTTAATCCTCTTCATGAACAAGAGTTAAGAGTTCTAATCCTTTAATCCTGTACTTTAACAGGAGTTAGGAGTTCTAATTCTTAGATCTTCGACTTGAACCAGAGTTTAGAGTTCTACTCCTTAAATCCTCTGCTTAATCCAGAGTTGAGAGTTCTAATCCTTTAATCCTCTGCTTAATCCAGAGTTGAGAGTTATAATCCTTTAATCCTCTTCTTAAACGAGACTTAAAAGTTCTTATCATTTAATCCTCTGCTTAAATCAGAGATGAGAGTTCTAATCCTTTAAGCCTCTACTCAAACAAGAGTTGAGAGTTCTAATCCTCTAGAAGAAAGAGTTCCATTTAATCCATTACTGAGATCTAAGGTAGCGTGTGGTAGAGTAATATGACTGAAAATAATAATAAAATCATTTTTCTATAAAATACAAATGCATAAAATTTAAACTCGTATTCGCCTTTAAATTTCATAAATTTTTTCGAATTCAAATAAAATTAGAAAATTGGAGTTTTTGCAATACACTGTTTACAATTCTAGAAATGAATTGGATGATTTTGTTTAATGTTATACCAATAATAATAACCATAAAACTGTGGAAGAATTGTCGTCTACGTTCTTCCTATTCAATATCACAGGAACTGAGTTATGTCACAACCTCAAATTTTCTATTCCTTTTATTTTTGCTACCTGACGATGTAAACCTTTGATATTTCAAACTAATATTATTTGTTCTAACAAAATACATAGTTTGAAATATCTAAGGTCTACAACATAAGTTTTCAATTTTGGAATTAAAAAGTTAGAATTTGTGAAAAGAATTTCGTTATTTTAAAGGGAGTGTTTGCGAAAAATGAAAGGGGGTATAGGCTTAATGCGATATATTTCTCAAATGTTCAGGGCCCATCTTAGAATAAATAAGTTGTAATATCCATAAGAACCTCAATGAATAAACGAAAGAACGTAACACCAATTCCTCCTGGTTACCATCCACTGTATTGAATAATCAGACATCAACCAGCCAGCAAACATCACATACAAATAAGAGCCACTGAACGTATGACCCAGTAAAAAGAGTATTTTTTATAGTTTTCATTAGTTTCTAAATAAATGATTTTATATATTCCTAAGTTGCGCAAGTCCGCCGGTTTCTCCCCGACCTTTAGTACTAAGTATAGTTGTATCCTTCCGGGTTACAGTTCTCTCCTAAACAAATAGTGTGTCTTGTCTTGTCTTGTCTTGTCTTGTCTTGTCTTGTCTTGTCTTGTCTTGTCTTGTCTTGTCTTGTCTTGTCTTGTCTTGTCTTGTCTTGTCTTGTCTTGACAATACCCTGACTTAAAGACACCCTGACTTAAAGACACCCTGTCTTAACGACACCCTGTCTTAACGATACCCTGTCTTAACGATACCCTGTCTTAACGACACCCTGTCTTTACGATACCCTGTCTTAAAGATACACGTTCTTGTCGATACCCTGTCTTAACGATAACCTTTCCTAACAATACCCTGTCTTAACGATACCCTGACTTAAAGACACCCTGTCTTAAAGACACCCTGTCTTGAAGATACCCTGTCTTAAGGATACCCTATCTTAACAATACCCTGTTTTAACGATACCCTGTATTGACAATACCCTGACTTAAAGACACCCTGTCTTAACGATACCCTGTCTTAACGATACCCTGTCTTAACGATACCCTGTCTTAACGATACCCTGACTTGACGATACCCTGTATTAATAATACCCTGTTTTAACGACACTCTGTCTTAACGATACCCTGTCTTAACGATACCCTGTCTTGATGATACCCTGTCTTAACGATACCCCTTATTAACGATACCCTGTCTTGACGATACCCCTTATTAACGATACCCTGTCTTAACGATACCCTGTCTTAACGATACCCTGTCTTAACGATACCCCTTTATAACGATACCCTTTATTAACGATACTCTGTCTTAACGATACCCTGTCTTAACGATACCCTGTCTTGACGATACCCTGTCTTGACAATACCCTGTCAGACGATACCCTGTCTTAACGATACCCTGTCTTAAAGATACCCTGTCTAGACGATACCCTGTCTAGACGATATCCTGTCTTAACGATACCCTGTCTTAATGATACCCTGACTTAATGATACACTGTCTTAAAAATATCCCGTCTTAAAGATTCCCTGTCTTAATTTTAAGATACCCTGTCTTAACGATACCCCGTCTTAACGATATCCTGTCTTAAAGATTCCTTGTCATATAAGATACCCTGTCTTGAAGATACTCTGCTTTAACGGTACCCCGTCTTACTGTAGTTAATGTACTTACCCTCTGCCAGATAAAAACATTATGTACAACAGCTCCTCCACAGAATACGATGCCGATACCGATAACGATGGATGTAACGATGGCAGGGGTAGAATTAAAGTGAATAAACGTAAACAAAACAATTCCTAAAATAAAAAAAAAACATTGTTTCAAATCTACAAGGTGTCCCACGAAACATGACGTTGGTGAATAGTTTAGAATGGCATCTTCCATAATTTATTAAGTTGATTGATACCAAAGACGATAATAAAAATATTATATGGGAGTCATATTCAAGTAAAAATTGATTTCAAAGTAAAATATATATATTTGAGCAACAGATTTTTTTAACGAAATAAACTGCAAAAAGCCTTTAATATCATAATACAGTATATGTAAGACGACATTCAAAACTATTTACCAACTGTCATGTTTGGTTGGACAACCTGTATGTTACAAATTATACTGCAAATGGAATACATATACAGTACCTAATAGGAATACTGGAATTGTGAACTTTATATATTTATAGATTACTTACTAGGTCCTAGGAATAGTGACATTTTTGTTGCCTTGTACTATGGAATAGATAAATTACCTAATCGAAATAGTGGAATAGATATGTTATTTATTAGGTATAGTGGAATAGAAAAATTACCTACTAGGAATACTGTAATAGATATAATGCCCATTAGGAATAGCAGAATAAATATATCACCTGATAACAATAGTGCAATAGGATAGAAATAGTGGAATAGATATATTACCTATTAGGAATGGTGGAATAGATATATTACCTATTAGGAATAGTGGAATAGATATATTACCTATTAGGAATAGTGAAATAGATATGTAACCTATTAGGAATAGTGGAATAGATATATTACCTATTAAGAATATTGGAATAGATATATTACCTATTTGGAATAGTGGAATAGATATATTACCTATTAGGAATAGTGGAATAGATATATTACCTATTAGGAATAGTGAAATAGAAAAATTACCTACTAGGAATACTGTAATAGATATAATGCCCATTAGGAATAGCAGAATAAATATATCACCTAATAACAATAGTGCAATAGGATAGAAATAGTGGAATAGATATATTACCTATTAGGAATAGTGGAATAGATATATTACCTTTTAGGAATAGTGGAATAGATATATTACCTATTAGGAATAGTGGAATAGATATATTGCCTATTAGGAATAGTGGAATAGAAATGAAGAATCCTGCTATGGCACAAACACGAGTGACTGCTGCTTTCTTCAAATACTTATTACTCCTGAAAATTAAAAACGTTTGATTTAATCTTGATTTTTTTTCTTAAATAATTAAAGGGACGGATCCGACGCAAAATTTTGAGTGACCCCTAATTAAAAGTTTAGATGCCAGATTCACAACTTTTGTCTGAATAACAGAGGAGAAAATATGGTAGTTTTTTATTTCTTAAAAAAGGAAAATTCTACCAATTTTCCTCTTGTTTCTGCTGTTAAATCAACGGGTCTCTTTCATGAAGAAACTGAAATGGTAAAATATTAATTACTAGAAAGAATATATATTATCTCTATCATTTCTGCTATTTTTCACGGGTCAACTTAAATTTCGTCAACTGCCCCTGAAGAAACAATGTAAAAATTCTTGCGTTTTTGGTTCTCTTTCATTGTACAACAAATTCTAACTCATCTTTTTTTAAAAATCAAAATCGAAATAAAAGTAATTTTTTGTGACCCTCCATGCAAAGATGGAATTGCCCGATTCAATTAGATATAAATGTTAATAGTTTTGAGAAATAATAATTTAAAATTGTGGTTTCTCTAGAAAAGTGACATGTGCATTTCTACTGTGGGAAAACATATAAGATTTATCAGAATTAAAACCTTTACACCTAAACAAACATTAAACAACATCAAATACATTTAATTGCTTTAATGTCGTTTTCTTAATACAGTGTTTTGCTTCTCACTGTATAAACTTGAACTTAGTTCTGCCTCTTGTCATTATAGTTTCAGTAGAAGTAAATATTTCCATTTACTGATAGCGCCGATTTAAGGATTCATATCTAATTGGATAATGAGATAGATAGAAAGATAGATGTTACCGCCATATAATTTCTATTGGTTCAGAATAGACAACAAACACATGACTGATGGGATCAGGCGATAATGGACTCGGCATACAATGTTATGTTGCCCCTTCGTAAATGTTTTAAAGAAATTAAATTTTAAAAAACCAGATTTAAAATAGAAAAGTTTTGTCTTAAACTTTATTTCCATAGATTAATTAAAATAACAGATAGGACACTAGATGTCGTCTTTTTACGTCGACTACGCGTAACTCATTTGGAGTTATTGTAATCAAAATACTTATAAATCTTGAAAAGACGACATCTAGTGTCATATCTGTTATTTTAATTAATCTATGTTTATTTCCATCTTTAGTAGGTTTAATTTCAGAGCTACAATTGCTAGATATTTACAAAGTTTTAATTCCAAATAAATTAAGGAAATAAAGCTTATTTAACTGTAAATGCACAAAATTAAAGCCTATTAATTTAACTACTTACTTTTTCAAGTTTATTTATAGTTTTATGCCCTTTCTCAAACTTTCTAATGGGATTACCTATTTTCCCTTTCCGTTCATAAAAACTATTTCATAAAACTATTCTATCGCACCCCACCAAATCTATGTTTACCAAAAGGAAAAACTTACTGTTTCTAAAACAACAATATGCGGATGCCTCTTTTGAAAATTTCGGATTTTGAAAAAAAATTAAACTTTAATTTTTCACCCTTTGTTACTCCAGAGCTGGGAACTTTTGAATGGTGGATATCGGGATTAATGCTTGATCCACTCTTTTTCATAATCTCCAGATTAGATAATTCCTTGTTCTTCTCTTGTTATTAATCTCCAGATCAACAAACCGATCGGGATTTAGGATATCCCATTCTAAAGTTTTCAGCTTAGGATACACATGAATTCAAAATTTTTCATTTGAAAATTTTCAATTATTTTTTCTTATTTGAGTAAAAATATGAGATTAGAGTTTAGACAAATGTGAGTAAATTACTGGGTTAAGAGAAGAATATTTGCATCATTAGTTAGATTATAACATTAAACTGGTCAAAGTAGAGATCAATTTGTTGGGGAGGGGGGAAGGTATTTGCATCATTAGTTCGATAATAACCAACATTAAACTGGTCAAAGTAGAGATCAATTTGTTGGGGAGAGGGGGGAAGGTATTTGCATCATTAGTTAGATGATAACCGACATTAAACTGGTCAAAGTAGAGATCAATTTTTTGGGGAGGGGGGAAGGTATTGCATCATTATAGTTCGATAATAACCAACATTAAACTGGTCAAAGTAGAGATCCATTTGTTGGAGGGGGGGATGAGGGTATTTGTTAAAAAACGAGGGGGGGATATGCCAGAGTAACTTGATCATCATAAAACATCAAATGTTGATGTATCTTACTTGTCAAAGATTTTCAGGGTCCTTTAAATGGTAAACTAGGTTTTTCATTATTGACTTTATCAAACTGTATATTTTTACACATTTAATATTTGTATTTTGTAAAAGAATTGAGTCTGATTTTCTTTTTCCTATATCTTTGCAACTAAATGTCGTAGAATTTATGTATTTTAAGCTATAATTTAAGTTTGATATTTCAAAGGTTTACACTATCCGGTTGCAAAGATATAGCAATTAAAATATCTCAGTTTTCATTTCTTTCCAGAAAAATTGCTTTAACACACTTTTCCTTCCTATATAAGGTACCAAGGTCAAGTACGGAACTCTGGTGTTTAATTTTAACAATTCCAACAGTGTTTTACTGCAGTAAAATGCGCAAGCGACTTTGGTAGAAAAACCACAATTATAGTTCAGTAGAAGTAAATATTTCCATTTATTGATAGCGCCGATTTAAGGATTTATCTCTTATTGGATAATGAGATAGATAGAAAGATAGATGTTACCGCCATGCAATTTCTATTGGGTCAGAATAGACAACAAACACATGACTGAACCCTGATTGGATCAGGCGCTAATGGACTCGGCATACAAGAGTGACTTGATCAGACAAAAGCTTTTAAGGGGGTATGTACCGTTATGTACCGGTATGTACCGGTATGTACCGGTATGTACCGGTATGTACCGGTATGTACCACTGGGAATCTAAAATTTCCTGTCTATAAATAGAGTATTATGCTTGAAATTATAATTACAGCCCATTTAACTGAATTGAATTGTTCAAGTTATTCAACAAAATGTTTAATTTATGCAACCCTTATTTGCAAGAAATACCATGATAGTTATTAGTTTGTATACTTTAAAGGTGGAATTATAATGAAAAAGAATAAACTTGATGAGTTCCTCGGAAGTCTAAAAAACAAACTTAATTTTGACAAATAAAAACTAGTTCAGGGACCTATAAAGTAATTTCAAGTGACCCTCCATCGGAATTAAACACTTTTGAAGCTAGAAAAACCAGGTTATATTTCACTGTGTTCATCAGATCAAGATTGAAAGGGTACTCTTGTAAATTGTAAATTGAAATTAACTAAAGTACAAGCTCTAATTCTAATGAATAAAATTAAGAACAATGAAATAAAAATATTTCTTTTTACTAAAAATACGTCATTTAGAGCTAAATAGAAGAAAAGGTTGAATCAAATTGTTGCCATTCTGAAAATAGAAATTCAATATTTCCAGTTTAAACCGATTATTAGCCAAATATTCGTAAGAATGTTTATTATTATTTAAACAACTTTAAAATCTTGTTAAATAACTTAATCTGAGAGTTTGTTTACCAATATTCAGTATTTGCTTTATCTTTTAGAGAATATTATTTAAAGATTTTGTTTGGATATTATTTTAAATATTTTACAAAAATTGTTTTATAGGATTCTGTGGGATTTAATATTCATAATTTGCTTATCCTGTAGTAAATATACCCTACTCCCGAACAGTTTCTCTAACACGTATCTATCCAGGTACAGTTTCACTTAGCTATCAATGTTTAAACCCGGATACGATCAACTATCGATCCCAAATCAAAGGGGATGATCCTCAACCTGTTTATTAAAACAGGGAACCACATGGATACAATCTCGTGATCTATCAACGCCACTACCACTGGGAGCGATCTCGTTAGCGATCAATATTAATCGGAAGCTACTAGCTATCGATCCCAAATTACAGGGGACGATCCTCACCCTGTTTATCAAAACAGGGAATGTTTACTCTCTAGTAGTAAACAGTAAAGAGTCTCTATATCAACTAAGTATATTTCTTCAGTTTAGATTAGAATTGGGTCTTTAACAGCGTAATTACAAGTTATGTGCTGTTATATATAACACAGTTAAAGGGAGTGTTCGCGAAAAATGAAAGGGGTATAGACTTAATGCGATAAAAAAGCGCTTTTGATCGCTACTAATCTTACTTCTATCTGTTGCGTCTATAAGGAGAAAATTGATAAAGACGTCTCATACTAAAGAGCGTAGCGCTCATACAAATTGAGGAAGTTGGAACATACGACTTAGACCGTAAAAAAATCAAATTAATATCAAACAAATCATTCAGATATTACAACCTATAGTCATCGATTATCTTTCGCCACATTTGTATATATTTGATATTTCATACTAGTTTTGATTTTGTTTTTTTAAAATAATATTTAGCTTACAACTTGTTTTCGAACATTCCTGGAAAATATGAAAATGTCGTCTTCATTACCAAAAATCCTCGAAACAGGAATAAATGTTTTTATAAGTAACTCTCAGATCATAACAATTAAAACATATTATGAAAAATCAACTATATATAAATGTGGCGAAAGATAATCGATGACTATAGGTTGTAATATCTGAATGATTTGTTTGAAATTAAATTGATTTTTTTACGGTCTAATTCGTATGTTGCAATTTTCTCAATTTGTATGGACGCCATGTTATTCGGTATGAGACGTCTTTAACAATTTTCTCCTTATAGACGCAACAGATCGAAGTAAGATTAGTAGCGATCAAAAGCGCTTTTTTATCGCATTAAGCCTATACCCCCTTTCATTTTTCGCGAACACTCCCTTTAAGCAATCACAAGATGGGTTTGACAGAGTTATATTATTATTATTATTAACTCGTTGTTCATTGAAGACGGGGCCGATGCTCCTGTTCACCGAGAATATCCATGAACAATGCCCCACATTGTCCCGGAAGAAGGCTTACTGCTTGGCGGTCTGCCTTGAACAGTCCATTTCTAGGACTCTACAGATTTATACAGGCGGTCTGCTGTTGTATATTTTAATGAAACGAGCGATACTTCTTCAATTTTCAAAAAGAAAATAAAATTTTTTGATTGAATTGGTTCACCAAATCGATTTTAAATGACGGAATTTTTAAAACTTATCTGAGTAACAATGATGAAGATTTACCTTCCTACATTCTATTCAGAAAATTCACAAATGAAAATTATCAATTTTTCAGGAGAAATTCAACCTTGACCACACCAAAGTTTAAAGGGTACAGTTGTGAATCGGACATGGCCCTCTGTGAAAATTAATTTGCCGTCCCTTAGATAAATGTTAAATATTTGAAAAACCTACCTTGTTCTTCCCTGGTTTGATTTGACCAGCTTAGCTGTAAACAGGAACTGTATAGAGCAGACTAGAAGACAGGATAGATTCAAGCATAGAGTCAGAATACACATAGATAGTGTTACCTAAACATGGATAGTGTTACCAAAACATAGACAGTGTTACCTAAACATGGATAGTGTTATCTAAACACATAAATAGTGTTACCTTAACACATAGATAGTGTTACCTAAACATGGATACATGGATAGTGTTACCAAAGCACATAGATATTGTTACCTAAACACATAGATAGTGTTACCTAAACACAAAGATAGTGTTACCTAAATACATACATAGAGTTACCTAAACATAGATAGTGTTACCAAAACACATAGATATTGTTACCTGAACACATAGATAGTGTTACCTAAACACATAGATAGTGTTACCTAAATACATACATGGAGATAGTGTTACCTAAACACATAGATAGTGTTACCTAAATACATACATGGAGTTACCTAAGCGTAGATAGTGTTACCAAAACACATAGATATTGTTACCTGAACACATAGATAGTGTTACCTAAACACATAGATAGTGTTACCTGAGCACGTAGATAGTGTTACCTAGATACATAGATAGTAATACCTAACCATGGATAGTGTTACCTAAGCATGGATAGTGTTACCAAAACACATACATAGTGTTACCTTAACATGGATAGTGTTACCTAAACACATAGATAGTGTTACCTAAAAATAGATAGTTACTTAAACACATAGATAGTGTTACTTAAAAAATCAACTTAGATAGTGGTAACTAAACATATAAATATATTGTTAACTAAACAAATAACATATAGATATATAGGGTTACCAAAACATATAGATATATAGGGTTACCAAAACATATAGATATATAGGGTTACCAAAACATATAGATATATAGGGTTACCAAAACATATAGATATATAGGGTTACCAAAACATATAGATATATAGGGTTACCAAAACATATAGATATATAGGGTTACCAAAAAATGTACGACTTTCAAGATGACTAAACAGTGTTACTCAGTGTACAGAATTTATACAATAATTTTACAAACATATCTGGTTCTCAGCAACTGTACACTTTTACAAAAGACAATCCAGGCAGAAGACAAATATGTTGTTTTATTTAACAAATTTAGGACGTTTTCCAAATATTTTATAGACAACATGGCAGCTTAATAAAAGAAGTAGTTAATTTAGTTTAATATTTTTCATTTATAAACCTTGAAATACCTCATACACTGTTATATATTCTCCTAAAGTAAGAAGTCTGGTTTCAGTTTGCTCTGGCATCGGAGATATCTTGAGAAGGAATACTGAAATAGACAAAATTAGTTTAATTTATTGGAGATATCTTGAGAAGGAATACTGAAATAGACAAAATTAGTTTAATTTATAGGAGATATCTTGAGAAGGAATACTGAAATAGACAAAATTAGTTTAATTTATTGGAGATATCTTGAGAAGGAATACTGAAATAGCCAAAATTAGTTTAATTTATTGGAGATATCTTGAGAAGGAATACTGAAATAGACAAAATTAGTTTAATTTATTGGAGATATCTTGAGAAGGAATACTGAAATAGACAAAATTAGTTTAATTTATTGGAGATATCTTGAGAAGGAATACTGAAATAGCCAAAATTAGTTTAATTTATAGGAGATATCTTGAGAAGGAATACTGAAATAGCCAAAATTAGTTTAATTTATTGGAGATATCTTGAGAAGGAATACTGAAATAGACAAAATTAGTTTAATTTATTGGAGACATCTTGAGAAGGAATACTGAAATAGACAAAATTAGTTTAATTTATAGGAGATATCTTGAGAAGGAATACTGAAATAGACAAAATTAGTTTAGTTTATTGGAGATATCTTGAGAAGGAATACTGAAATAGACAAAATTAGTTTAGTTTATTGGAGATATCTTGAGAAGGAATACTGAAATAGACAAAATTAGTTTAATTTATTGGAAATATCTTGACATTTTAAATTGAACGAACCTTCTTCTCCAAACATTGTCCAAAAGTTTAATTTTGTAATTATCAAGGTATTATACTAAAGGTAAGGAGGCTAGGGTTTGTGTAAACATTTGATTGTGACGTTTTTAAACTGTTAGGAACTAGTTTTTCCAAAACAAAAACAAAAATAGAAAACAAAGGTGAAGAGTGGAATTTTTTTTTCAAAATATCAATTAAAAGAATGATTTTCAACTCTGCCAATTATCAGAAGTACATTGTGATGAACCAAACACAAACTAAAGACAATGCTATATTTCTTACACTTAGAATTGGGTTTAGTATAACAGTGCGGGTGCTCCGACCCTTTGTCCGTCTTATTGGTCTGCAATTGCAAATCCAACCAATCAGCATGGCGTAGTCTTGCTTCCATTGGCATTTGACTTGGTAAACCAATGCTTTTGTGAGAGGCTAAAAAGGGCTTCTTAGTTCTCCGAAAGCTCAAGTCGTAGATCTAGATAAGGCCCTACGACAGAATAGACCTGAGTCGTATTTTCTTGAATTTTTTTTAAATCGCCGGCTCAGAGAAAAAATTTGAAACTATATTTTTTGCCATGTAGAATTATGAGAACTAATTCCCAATCATTCCAGAATAATCTGTAAGCTTGGAAGTTTAAGAATTAGATTAAAGAGAAAGGTTGCGAACTGTTGAATAAAAATTTAAAATTGAAAAACCAACAAGCTAATGGGATGCTAACAAAACTTCAACTTTCAAAATTCTAAGTTGGTTTTAATGTAAACTTATTTCATGAAAACATGAAAAAATCAGTTTTTTAAAGTGTCTTAATTCTACAAAAATTGATTATGTGTTCCTTTAAGAAGTAACTGAAGGAAATCTCCCTCATCAATATTCTCTAAAGGAATTGTCCAATGATGGTTTAAACTGTTCAAGTTTCTTTGGAAAAGAACTCTTTTTTCTCAATAAATGTAATTATACTCTACAAAATACAGGAATTGTTCCCAGCATATATTGTTAGAAGAAATTAACCCCCACCCCCTCCCCCTATATTTCCTTCCCGCTTATTTTATTTGAAAGGCCGAAAAAGTACTTTAATAACGACCCTCCCCGTATCCCCTCCCGTTTATTTGATTACCGANTTCAAAAAACCGGTTTAATATTCTATTTGGCGGATTTTCATGGTAGGAATTGGCGCATTCCCAGTTTTTATGAGAACAAGACGCAACATTGAACCTTATTCTCCACTAAAACCAACCAAGATCGGTTTTATTTTCATTGGGCCTAACTTAAGTCGAGCCGAAGATCTTGCAGCTGTCAATTACGTGACACAAGCTGTCGTTAGAGTTGGGTCGAAGATTGGGTCTTAAAGTCGGGTTTAAGGAATTACGATTCGAGCCAAAGCTTTTAAATCGCGGGCTCTGGAGGGACTCTCTAATTTAAAGAACCGGTTTTTGATTTATCCAAAAAAGAATGGTAAAAGAAGAAAATCAAAAATGTGTCCATTGGATACTCAGATTAAGTAATCGGGATTAAGGATATCTCATTTTAAAGTTCCCAGCTGGGGTTAGATAAGATCATGAGGGAAAAATCAAAATAATGTGAAATTATTATGACTTTGTGACCTCGTAGTTCCTCAATTTTACAACCAAGTATGAAAAAAAATCATTTATGAAATTTATAGCTTTTTTATTCTCTTCGATAAAAGAAGTTATGATTGAAAACATTTAAAACTCAAAAATAGATCGAGTTTTTGTCAACACACGATTGATTGATTATTGCTAAAAAATGACAAAACAGCTGAACCAAATAGCTCGATTGTGAAACCTTGCAATTTTTGCTCAAAAAAATATGAAAACTATAAAAATCTTCATCATGAATTAAAATGTCATTAGATTTTTCAAAAGAAAAGTTTTTCTTTTATGTAGTTTTTACTTTTAAACTTTTTAAATGAACTTTATGCACTGCACTTGTGAATAGAACTAAAAGGGTGTGAATCCTATAATATGCAAATTGCAATGTACTTGTGAATAGAACTATAAGGGAGTGAATCCTATAATATGCAATGTACTTGTGAATAGAACTAAAAGGGAGTGAATCCTATAATATGCACTGCACTTGTGAATAGAACTAAAAGGGAGTGAATCCTATAATATGCACTGTACTTGTGAATAGAACTAAAAGGGAGTGAATCCTATGAACCCAGTTTCTTAAATTCCGGCAAAAATTGTGAAGGTTAACAACTATAAAATAGAATTCATTCATATAACTTAAAATTGGCTTTTATTCCTATATCTTTGCAACCTCGTGGTGTAAACCATTAATATTTCAAAATTAGATTAATTGATCTGTAACCGAATTCATAGTTTGAAATATCTAAGGTCTACGGCATTGGCTTTTTAGATGTTTGGATTCGAAAATCTGAGTTTGTGGCAATAACTCCGTTCCTTTTACCTAAAGAGAGTAGAGCAAGTAGAAGAGAAACTATGCAGAGAAGGCCGAGGGATTGTAACATCTCCCTTGCTCCGGTATCAGCAGAGACCAGGAGAAGGTTCGACAACGGTTTCTTCTCCTTTCTCTGGGTCCCTCCGTTCAACTGGCTGTGGTTGGTCACCTGGCTCCCGTTTAACCGATCCAAGAGAGCCCTGAATACAAAATAATATTAGTTCTAATGAAAACAATAATTATCGGGATTAAAAAAATTAAGCAACTGTAGAAGTAGTTCCCAGTGACCCGCAGTTTTCAGGGTGCCATGTTTGATTAACAACAGTACCCTCAAAACCATATTTATATCGTGTTTAGGGTTTCCAATTGCAATTCCGTTGCGCGCAACTGTGCGGAATGCGCGCAACTGTGCGGAATTGCGCGCAACTCTTCTCGAATTGCGTGCAATTGTTATGAGTTTACAGGTCTCACAATTGCGCGCAAGTACAATCCACTTGCGTTGGAAACCCTAATCGTGTTTCTATCTAAAAATGTTGAATTCTGTTGATTTCCTTCATTATAGTTGTAGAATTGTAAATGTATACTTTTGTATAGAAACCACTGACGATATTTTAATTCCTCCCGGATCAGAAAAACCTTTAAATGTTACAATTGTGAATAAAACATGCCACTGTACATATAATAAAAGACACTTCTAATCGATCTTTTCAGAGTGCATTTCTTACAACTGTTCCTTTAAACCTTGATAAATTTACCAATGAACAACCCTATCCCAGCCTAACGCAAATATTGCACGGTGAACTAGAGGTCCTGGTTAAAAATCCAGTGATTCTTAACTTTGGAATCCATTTTCATCCTTTAAGTATGTATTTTCATATTTGCTATTTAATACTTTTTTTGTTGAGCTATGTACTTTTAATATTTGAGGATAGGCTTCCGCTATTTTTGAACGAGAGATTAAAATTTGATTGAAAATGCTTCAATACTGACGGCATGAACTTTGGGAAAGTTAGTTTTTTTAATTCAATTACAATTTACAATACACTGCAACTTAAACTGCAGGCCCCAAGCAGGAAAAACTGGATGCATTCTGTTTAGTAAAAAAGTATAAAAAGTAAATTGAATTCTGTGTAAAGTATTAATTAGTACTTGCAATAAACAACCTTGTTTGAAGAATGCCAGTAAAAATAGAAATAATTTGTTGAATAAAATTTTAAGGTTAAAAAGAAAATTAGTTTTTAAAATGCAATTTTCAATAATTTCGTCATTCAAAACTTGTATAATGGGCCATGATTCAATAACGTATTTAAATGTTTTCTTGAAAATTTTAAAATGAAACCAAATATAGACGGTTTTCTAATATCTATCAAAATATTTCAAAAATATTTGTATTATAAATACATCTAAAGGAAAAATGTAGCTAACATATATTATATCATCCTCCCCACAATATTATTTTAAATAAATTTAAAGAAAAAATTACTTTGTGTTTTTAAATACATCAAAAATCGTAAAGTACGAATTGTATGTTATGTTCATTGATGCTTAAATCAACTTTAGAAAAAATTATTCCTGATTCAAAACTTTTCAAAAGTATCATTAAATGAAAATCAAATACCCTTAATTTTCAAGAACTTATCGAAATATTCCAAAAATAACTGATCCCTTTTTGCAACATCATGTTGCGGAGCTTTATAATTCTAAATTAAAAATTCTAATAAATCAAAAATTTAAATATTAAGAGTTTTCATCAAAAAGATGCAAAAATATAGGTAGTAGAGGTTGTGAGTATTCCTTTCCTTACCATTATTTAAAAAAAATATTAAAAAATTTGCATGCGAACTATTTATTCAAAATGGCTGAAACAATTTAACAAGATTGGAAGTAAAAAGGTCTGCACAAAAATAAAATAAAAATAAAATTATTCTGGAAACTGTTAAATTCAGCACAATAAGATATTTCTCCGGCAAAGCCTTTAACGGTCTAGAGGAGCAGAGAGGATCTGGAGTGCATTTAGAAACTGTTACAATGACCATCAAATATTAAAATGGTAAGTTCGATTCACAACGGTTCAATCTAAACTTTTGTCAAATCATCGATGGCGGAGATATTCACATTTTTCTTTCTGAAAATTGAGTTCTGTGGAAGTTGAGTTCACACTGCATTCTCTATAACATCCTGGATGAACCAACGGTTGAAAGGGAACCGTTGTGAATCGGACATGCCACTTTATAAATAGAGTGTCACTTGAAATTACTTCTACAGTTCCTTTATATTAATAAAATATTTCAATCTTTAATCCCTACCTACACGTTTTTGAGGTTAAAAATGAGAACTGAGGTATTTGAATACTTAACGTCAAAGCTAAAAGCCCGAAAAATACCAACCAAAGATATAAAAGTGACCAGTAGCGCGGCAATACTCAAATTATTGGTGGAGATATTTTAAGTAACAGATATTTAAGCAGGCTGCATATTTGCCATGTCCGTTAGTTGGGGTTTAATTAAATATAAATCCGATCAAGCCACATTTTTATGTGGGGCCTCTCATGGCCCCCAGATGGTTTCAGGCCGGGCTAGTTTTAAAAATGTTATGTTTTCAACAATAAAATTAAAAATTCCCGCATGAAACCTGAGCTTTAAAAGCTTTGGCTCGAGTCTTAATTTTTTCCCTTTGCTACAAAATTCTTACTTTCTAGTAGCATATAAAGGAGATATTTTTTTTTATTCTTACTTTCTAGTAGCAGATATTGGAGAAATTTTGCTACAAAATACTTACTTTCTAGTAGCAGGTATAGGAGGTATTTTGCTACAAAATACTAACTTTCTAGTAGCAGGTATAGGAGATATTTTGCTACAAAATACTTACTTTCTAGTACCAGATATAGGAGATATTTTGCTACAAATACTAACTTTCTAGTAGCAGATATAGGAGATATTTTGCTACAAATACTAACTTTCTAGTAGCAAAAATAGGAGATATTTAGCTACAAAATACTTACTTTCTAGTAGCAGATATTGGAGATATTTGTGTACTGTTGAGATCATGATGAGATGAATCCATGGTCGTCTTTGTTTGACTTGACGTTGCACCGGAGTTTGTTGAAGATATTTTAGAGCTATTATGGCTACTAATGTTTAGAAGACCAGGCTGCTGAGGTCCTGCTTGCTGTCGAGTACCCGGAGCTAGAGAACCCTCCTGTGGAGCTAGGGACCCGGAGAATATCCGGGATCGGTTTAGATCTGGAGACATTCTACCGGAGAAACCAGGACGAGGTTTATTTGTCTCTGTAGGAGATATTCGTCCTTGTCTTGATCTGTTTAAATCACTGGGAGTTATGCGTCCGAAGTTTGTTCTATAAAACTTGGGTTCCTGATACACAAAGATAGATAGATAAATAGATAATTAGATTAGTTTCTAATTATAAAGAAATACGAAAATTGTGGAAAAATGCCAATACAATCTCAGTTTTGGGAAGATTCTTTTTTGTATTTGTTTCTAAAAATTCTTGAAAAATGTGTAATTCTATAATTTCTAAGACGGAGATGGAAAATTTAATACGTTTTGTTTATTTTCATAAGAAAGATAATTTATGTAAGTCCTATCCCAATCCTATATAGACAAAGCTGTTGCTATTTTTATCTATTTCAACTTCATGTTTTATTTAAATCAAAAATCTAATTTAGATTAAATATGTTCTGAATATTGTATTTTTCCCTTGAACCAGAATCATGAAATATATTTCATGATTTAAATGGCAATTTTGTTAAATTAGATTTTCTCTAAGAACAAGGTAATAGACCTAAAAATAAAAGTCTATAACAAAGAACAGCAAGGTGGAAGTAAGGTGGATTAAGAATTAGAACTTATCTAAAACGAATTCTCTATTTCCTGGAAGGAATAAATCTTGGTAAAACTGGGAAAGGTTTGGTTTAATAAATCTAAATTAGACATTGTCTAATCTATCCCTGAGCAGGGACAGGGTTCCCTTGCGTTCTTCCATACAGGTCCTCCATACCATTCTTTAGATATGCTCACATTGGAGACATTAGCTGATATATGGGACTTTAGCTGCTCATGTAGTGGACTTCAGCTGCTTACATCGAGAACTTCAGCTGTTCATAAAGAGCAGCGTTTCAGTGGCTCACATAGAATAACTCTGAACTGCTTTCATAGGATGCATAACTTTTTACAGCTTTTATAGAGGTCACAACATATAGCTGCTCTCCTAGGGTTCGTAACTTTTAACTGCTCTTATAGAGATCATAACTTTTAACTGGTTTCAAAGAGTTTATAACTTTTAATTCCTCTTGGAAGGTGAAGGACTTCAAGTTTTGAACTATCTTCTCTGCTTTCACTGAGTTAATTCAGAAAATCTGGTATCGTCTGAAATAATAAATATGATTAGTAAAATACACCGTAAATTAAGTTAATAACAAGTGCCTTCTTTTTAGCTAATTCGTAGTTCAACTCCTTAATCCATATAGTTAATCTATATAGTTAATTCATATAGTTAATCTATAAAGTTAACCCATAGAGTTAATCTATAAAGTTAACCCATAGTCTACTATCGACTCAAACCAGAGTTCTCGCTTGACTAATCCGTAGTTTCAGCTTAGTTAAACCCTATGTACAGATTACAGTTTCGGTTTAATCTTAGTGAGTAAATGAGAGGTTAAACTTTATCAATATTTTTTGAATAAATTCATTGATCGTACAATATGAGGATCAATTCTTTAGCTCATTGACTAATATGGTTTCAATATTGAAACGTGTATTTTTAGTTTTCACTGCACACTCAATGGGTCTATTCCCTTTTAGTTTCAAATATAAACTAACTCCCCCCTTGGCTACATGGACAGCCCCCCCCCCAGGTTGGATGGTCACTGAGCAGATTACAGATTAGAGACGGGTCACACAGACGTAAATCATTATGAGATAGTTTTTCAGATACTCGGGTCTTCAAATATCAGATCTAATCCCTCCCTAAACCCTCCCTAATCCCTCCATAAAACCTTCTTAATCCTTCATTTATAATATTTACGTAATAAATCCAGGATATTCCCTGTTGTACTAAGCTCGCTACTAAGGGATTTATATATGTAAATATAACTAAATGATAATAAAAAAACACACACAAAATTTAAGTTGAACGTTAAAAAGGACATTCTTTAACTTCCCTTTTTTATCCCTTCAACCTCACGGATTAGACTCAAATATCACAGCAAATACTTTAAATAATAAAAACAATTAGACTCAAGGGTAAATTTCTTTCTAAAGATTTGCGAACTGTGACTTTAAAATACAATATTTGGCAGAAAGTTGTAGAATAATATTAGGAAATTAATAAACGTTTCCTAATTATATATCTCCATGAATTTAAAATACAATATTTGGCAGAAAGTTGTAGAATAATATTAGGAAATTAATAAACGTTTCCTAATCATATATCTCCATATTTCAAGAACTCACAGGACCAATATTGCCAAAAACATTCATCCAGAGCGAAGCAATAGATATTTTACAGGCCTCATTAAAATCAAAATGATTAAAACCGATCTTATCTGTTTTCCTTATGATTCTGACGCAGGAATTGATCTGCGTTTTAAACTAAAATTACAGACAAACGGTTCAATATTTTAAATAACATATTATTATCTTTACGTAACTTCAAAATTCAACAATAAAAACCGATAAAATCGCAAAAAAACTTAAAAGTCGGGAACAAGGGGCGCGAAACTAGAGTCAGCAGCTTGTACAAAAGATTAAAGAATGTTTACAGGAAACAGTTAAAAGGAAAAGAATAAATGAAAAAAGATTTCGATTATTTAGAAGCAAAGATAATTAGAAAATGTACTTTTTATTATCTCATACTCATGAGACCAAAGAGACGATAACTTTTGAACGATTGGAAAAGCTAATCCATGGATTTTGATGAATTATTTATCCCCATGCAGTGATGCAAAATAAACTGTTGTTAAAAACTTTTTAACTCTTCTCTTATTGCTCAGCAAACATAGATCCTACAAATGAGAGATTCAGAGACCAAGCAAATTAAAACTTTTATAAACTTTTTTATAATTCAAAAGTTTTCAGGCCAAATATCCTTTTCAGGTCAAATATCCAGTTCAGGCTAAAACGTTTAGTTCTATCTAAACAAAAATGCTCAGGCTCAGTATTGAATAGAGATTTATTCAAATAATACTGTTCGTTAGTGGCTCTTACAAAAGCATCCTTGCGTAACAATAAGCTATAAATATGAAAACTGCTGCAATGCTTTACATCCTGTATGCTTTACATTTTATAAATAAAAAAATAAGTAAAATAAATGGATAAGAATATTAGCGAATAATTTCAAGTGACCCTTCATGCAATACATTAGGGCAATGCTATATTTTTAATTAGCGTGAAAAGTTTTAAAACTATTTAATTTAAGCACATTGAAGTAGACAGAAGGAGACGGTTATATAAATTGAGCCTTTGTCACAAACTCTGATTTTCTAATCATTTATCTTTGCGGCAACCCTATTTCGTAGACCTTGAATAGTTTGAACTTTGAATTCTGTGAGATCGGGTCTTGGACATTGGGTTTCAATGATAAAAAGATTAAATCAGAGTTTGTGTCAAAGACATTTCTTGTAAACATCTTTATGACCTCGTAGCTCCCCCAGTTTTAATTTTACGGATTTTATCCCGTCAAATATTATAAATTCAAATATTATAAATTCAAAAAATTATTATGATTGAAAATATACAAGATTTCAATACTATGTGCATAAAGGAATTGAGTCTTTGGAACAAAATCAAATATTTAATCCCCAATATCTTTAGAACCCGCGATGGTGTAAACCTTTGATATTTCAAACTCAGATTATTTGATTTAACAGAATTTATAGTTTGAAATATCTAAGGTCTACAACATTTGGTTCCAAAGATATAGTGATTATAAAATCAGAGTTTGTGGCAAAAACTCAATTCCTTTATTTTAGTTTGGGGTGAAAATCCTTTTAATTCTCCCCCCCCCCCCCCCTCCTCCCCCTCTTCTAAAGAAGTAATTGCATGATACTTGTAATCTTGTCTCGGTGGATGCGGAGAACTGATTGCAAAAAGTCCTAGATTGTAAATAATTAAATAGAAATTGGCATTTACACCATCCTACGCAGAGGGTTCTGTGTCTAGGATTTATAGCGCTGAAACAATCCAAGATTTCTGAATATTTCTAAATACAAGATTAAAAAAACATTTAGAATGAAAAGGTCAATTTTTTAAAATTTGCTTCCAAATCTTCTCTTAAAATCTAATTATGTAGTTTACTTGTCGCGGTCTGTCCGTTTACTTGTCTGTCAGTCCGTTTTTGCATCCAAAAATAGTCCAAACAACTGAACCATCAATCGGCCCAAACAAATTTTGGGCCTTCACATAAACCCCTGAAAACGGACGTTAAAAAATTAAAAGATTGCCTTAAAATTTTAAAAATTTGGAATGGAATTGAGTTTTTGCCACAAACTTAAATTTTCTTATCCCTATATCTTTGCAAGCTGATTATGAAAATCTTTAATATTTCAACCTTAGATTATTTGATCTATAACAGTTCAAAGTTTGAAATATCTAAGTTCTACGTTATTGGGTTGAAACGAAAAGGGTATGGATTAGAAAATCAGAGTTTATGGCAAAGACTCAATTCCTTTCCAAATTTTTAAAATCTACAAAAAATCGATAGACCAACAACTAAAACATAAAATCGGAGATTAGTTAAATATACAGTGTGAGAAAAAACAGGGAACATAAAAAAATCCGCGAAACCTGTTTTTGTCCAAAACATCGATAATCCCCGTTTTTTAACTCACCCTGTATATATTTTAACATTGTAATAATGTAAAAATACTGTTGAATGTTCTTTGATGTTAATTCGGATCAAACATAATTATAAAAACCACAATTTGTTAATAATCTTACAATGTTATTTTGTAGTTTTGACAATGCAGAAATTTTCAAAGTGAATGCTTGTATTGACGTTTAATGAAAGCACAATGACTGTTTTTTCATTTTATATTTCCTTGTTCAATAAACATTTTCATTTTGCATAAATGTATTTTAAAACCCTAAAATTAGAAAGAAATGCAAGCTAATAATAACATTATATATATATAAAGTAGTAATCAATCTGTTTCATTGTTTTTTGTAAGTTCTAACTCTTTGTCCGATTCGACTCAAATTTTGATTGAGAAACTCGGTAGAACCACGGGAATGTTCTTAGCTTTGTTTTAAAAAGTTTAGCGCGTAGGCAAAGCTGGGTTCACAATAAAATAAAATAAAATATATTACATTTGAAGAATTGGATATGATTTGTACCAAATACAACATAATTTTAACATGTATTTTAACAATTCAGTGCTTAGGATCCGGATCCGCAAAAATATGCGGATCCACGGATCCGGATGGATCCAAGGAGTAAAATATCAACCAAAAACAGCAAAAAAAACTTTTTTGTTCTTAAAACCCAAATCTGAGCTTTTGAAAAAAAGAGAGATTATAAAAATTTCCTCATTTCTGAATGGTTCATCAAGTTTTAGGTTAAAAATAAGCTAACAAAAAGTAAAACAAAAAATTTGAACATATTTTTTGTTAAAAAAATTCAGTAAATCTTAAAGAAATGACCTGGATCCAGATCCATTTTTTTCCAGTGCGGATCCAGGATCCGGATCCGGATCCGCATCAAAAATAAATGGATCCTAAGCACTGCACTGTGTACAACGTAAAAACATAAAATAGAATTTAACATATTATCATTTTTATATTCAAATATTCCCCCCAAAACCTGTTTGTAATCAGCACAACCTGAGAAAATAAGAAACATTTTGTACGGCAATAAAATATGTTTATATCTATGCATCCCGGGTTTACAGCATGTTATACTCTCATGTTTTTTGTATATTCGTCTGTGCAACATTGGGCAGAGTTCTGTCCTAGCGGACAGTTAAATTTCTCCCGCCTTAAAAGATTTCTTTTATGAAAGATATGGTTTATTACGTTTTTTGTCTCAACTCTTAAATATGAATTCCTCCCTCCCCCCTACAGAGATATCCAAACAGCTTAGAAAAATAAAAAGTAGCACTAGACATAAAGTTTAAGAACTAAAATAAAGCAATTCTTTTTAACTTTAATGTTTAAGGAGTCATTCTCAACAATTTTTGAGTGAGAGCTTAAAACCTTTGGGGCACTGTGCCCCCCCCCCCCATCCTTTTGTTATTACGAATTTGTCAACGAAAAATAATGTTTGCGTTCGACAATTTATTTGCCGAGCGCTGCGGCCGCTAGTCTACGACGAGGACCATGCAGGCTATATTAGGCTTAGAGGCCCATCGCTGCGGCTACAAGGATAAATAAAAAAAAAAACTTTCCGGAATAATAAAATTTTGGTAAAAAAAAAACAAAGATTTTGTGAGAGAAAAAAATAAGTTTAGGAAATGTGTTAAGAAGCTACAAAAAAAACCTCAAATTGAATCGCGACAAACATTTTTCTACCTGGCCCTATTCGAATCTTTACCCCCAGTAAATTATCACTGTCTCACACAAATATCCGCTTTGATTCTTGCGTCCTACCACTGATCTGTGACGTCAAGTAGGACGGAGACACATATAGTTTCAATGTACGGCGTTTCTAGAAGAAAAAATATCAGGAAATATGTTCATACACTCTTCAAGCAGGTTTAAACCAATTAGCTAAGTGTAACACAATACAATGTGCTTTGATCTTTTCATATCTAATTAAAGTAATGTTATATACGAGAAGGAAAGATAATGAAAAGTAAAAATATATTTCAAACTCGACTTTAAACTCGGCTCCCCACCCCCTTAACCAACCAATAGAACCTCCCCCCCCGTCCCTGCCCAATAATACCTGAGTTATTAACATGTTGGATAAATTCAGATGAATTGATCTAGGCTGGGTTGGGTTGGGGTAATTTAGCAAGTTGCAACTTTCTCTGATATTTTGCAGGGATAGGATGCATAAGATTAAAATCTAACTCTCATACATAGTCCAACCCTAGTACAGGGTGTCCTGATATACTCCAACCCTAGTACAGGGTGTCCTGATATACTCCAACCCTAGTACAGGGTGTCCTGATATACTCCAACCCTAGTACAGGGTGTCCTGATATACTTCAACCCCAGTACAGGGTGTCCTGATATACTCCAACCCTAGTACAGGGTGTCCTGATATACTTCAACCCCAGTACAGGGTGTCCTGATATACTCCAACCCTAGTACAGGGTGTCCTGATATACTTCAACCCCAGTACAGGGTGTCCTGATATACTTCAACCCTAGTACAGGGTGTCCTAATATACTCCAACCCTAGTACAGGGTGTCCTGCTATACTCCAACTCTAGTACAGGGTGTCTTGATATACTCCAACCCAAGAGAAATTATTGTAATCTATTAAAGCCAGTATTTGTTGTAACCAGAATTTTTATAAAAAAAAATATTTTTTTTTTTTTTTTACAAAAACCGTAAATATGTGGGTTCTTTATTGGAAATTACCGTTTTATACCACAATTACCGCTTTATACCACAATTACCGTTTTATACTACATTTACCGCTTTATACTTGTTAAAAATATTAAATCAAATATTAAAGAACTTTGAAACTTTTCCCCCAATCTTCCACATACGACAGGTCATGACGTCATATAGGATTAAATTAGAGAGGCTAGGTGGGGATAAGATGAAGATTTGAGACAAGCTTAAAAATATTTTTCATTTGTACCATTATAGAGAATTATTCTTTCTAAAAATAAAATAAAATTTTCACAAAACGAACATTTTAGAGGTTTTGAAATACGATTCTCAGATAATGCGATAAAAAAATATCCTAGTATAACGTAAATACGGATAGCGCTATGCTTCAGGAACTGTAAACGTAATTTCAAGTGACCCCTCCGTGCAAAGATGACAATGTCCGATTCACAACGGTAAATATTCACTTTTTGTTTATTTTAACAGGTCTGATAAAGGTTTAGGTACCGTTGTTAATCGGATATTGTCATCTTGTCATGAAGGTTGACTTGAAACTACTCTAACAATCCCTTAAACTCGATATCCATAACCTACAATGTAAATTTTTATATTAAAGAATAAACTGGAAATCAAAATTGTCTAAGCGATGAAGCCATATATTTAACATTCAAAAGTTTCGCAGCCAAAGAGAATAGCTAAAAATTGCAATTTAAATGTTCTTAAACCCTTTAGGAGGAAGAAGATACCAAATTATTGAATTTGAAGAAGCCATGTTTTCTGAATATATTTATTCCCTTTAATTGAATAGACCGGTACGTGACTAGATTCTAAGGATGCACTTGTGCTGGTTAGCTTGGATTGGATTGAGTTAGTTTAGTTTGGTTTGGGTTGTCAGTTCACATTTATTCTATTGCATTATTTCCAACTTGAGATACAAATTCTAAACGAAGATCAATGAAAGGAGTCATGGATACAAGGATACGAGGATACACAGGTGCATGGATACAAGGATACTAGGGTACAATGATACAAGGATACAAGGATACAAGGATACAAGAATACAAGGATACGAGGATACACAGGTGCATGGATACAAGGATACACGAATACAAGTATACTAGGAGACAAGGAACCAAGAATGCAAGGATTCTAGGATACAAGGGTACAAGAATACAAGGATACAATGATACAAGGATACAAGGATACAAGGATACAAGGATACAAGGATACAAGGATACAAGGATACAAGGTTACAAGAATACAAGGATACAAGAATACAAGGATACTAGGATACAAGGGTACAAGGATACAAGTATAGAAGGATACAAGAATACAAGGATACTAGGATACAAGGGTACAAGAATACAAGGATACTAGGATACAAGGATACATTGCTCGGAATACCTTTTAGATTTTGACTTTAATTGAATTCTAGGATAGGTGACAGAGACCTGGGGAGAGGGGGTGCTGGACTACGCTTTCGATGCATACTGCAGTGATCTGTAGTACTCTGGCCGAAGAGATAGTAGGTTTTAGTGGAGAGAAGGGGAGATGATGTAAGGGCATGGTAAGGGTCATCCCAGTAGTTTAGAAAGATAGTTGATATTTTCATTTGTCCAGGTCTCATCTCAGTTTATAGTTTATAAACTACCATACTTTATAGCCCGGAGATACTAGTTTACTTTATATCCAGAGTTTTAAGCAACCTTGCACAAGTAAATTTATGCTAACTTTAATATAAGGATACAGGGATATAAGGATACAGGATACAAGGATACAAGGATACAAGGATACAAGGATACAAGGATACAAGGAATACAATGACACAAGGATACAAGAATACAAGGATACAAGTATACAAAGATACAAGGATAAAGGAATACAAGGATACAAGGATACAAGGATACAAGGATACATGTATACAAGTACACAAGGATTCAAGGATACAAGAATACAGGAATACAAGGATACAAGGATACAAGGATACAGGAATACACGGATACAAGGCTAAAATGATACAAGGATACAAGCATACAAGGATATATTTTAAGCAGAGTAGTAATATCAATCAAATAATTAGAAATAAAATATTCAAAGCAAAAATTTTCCAGTCATTCCAATAATTTTTATTTTGAGTTTGTCAAATATATAATGTAGAAATATTAATATGGTTTTTATATCTTGAATTTAAGACTACAGCCCCCCCCCCCTTGTGCTGTTCCTTTTACTAGTGGGGTTATTTAAATCGGAAAATTCGTTTCTATCAACCGTAGTTACAGAAACTTTCAATAATCTTTTAATAAGTTAACCTCTTAACTTAGAACAAGGATATTCATTCAGAAATGCATTTCTTTATAAGAAATATTAACGTTTTTTAAAATTTTGTTTGTTTGTTATTGTAGCATTTGTAGATTTGTTCTAAAATGCCAACATTTTGTCTAAACCGATCTCTCTCACCCTTTCGTAAATATAATCCTAAATTATAACTTGATATAGCCTGCTTAATTAACATCGATGCAGATACTCCTTAAATAGTAAACTGAACGTGATGACATTAAACAATTTGCTTTACCACGGCAGTTATATTTTTTTCTTCTTCAAATGTAATCCATATTCATAACTTAACCGACTTTTATTTGATTTGAAAATCTTTTAAAAATGTATGAAATGTATGTTTTTAAATACAGCAGCTGGCCCCAACATTTAGTATTCCTCTTATTTCCCGCCCTTACATGCCCAACCTCCCCCCCCCCTCTTAACTAAAATAAACAAAGTATATAAAATAAATATTTAGGAATTAAACAGAAAAGGAGGAGAAATAAATAATATTTACCATGGTTTTAGAGAGCTTGAGACTGAACACTTTTATTTGAACTAGGCTCAGGATCATTTTAAAAACACTCAATCCTGGGATAAGAATAAGAACTAGTTTCTAACTCTTTATAATCACTGTTCAGACTAAATTCACCAGTTTATATCTTTTATAGTTTATATAAAAATATACTACTAACGGTTGGGACCAAATCTAACTCCAACTGTCACTGAACAAGGTTTGAATTCAGGAGTTCTCCACCTGCAGATACATACAGGACTCAGGGTGTACACTGAGTATTCAAATGCAACCTTACTCTGCAATCTTCCAATCATAAAACTGAGCTCCAGGGGTTTTCATCTTACTAAACTCTCTCCCTGGTCAAGAATGCTGGGTCCTGTGCCGGAAGCTGAGAAAAAAACTCTGAACTGGTCGAGTAGTATGGGTGCAGGGACCTGGAGCACAGAGTTCCTCTCCGCACGTCCTTACACTGTGAGAGCCGGGCCCGGGTTGGGGGGAGGAAACCCCCATATAATAACAGCTGTTTCAGCTGCTTAAACCCTCATCTCAGATCACAGCTGTTTCAACCGACACTGAGCCTTACCACTTCTAGGGTTTATAATAAGGAAAACAAAGTGTCTGGCCTTAGAAAGTTTAATTGAAATACTAATTAATATTATTATTTGTCTGAATATTGTATTCAACTTGTTCTTTCATGTTTGTTATTGCATTGCCCGTGAAGGGGGGGGGGGGGCTTATAAGATATAGAATATTACCCTGCTCTCTGGAGAAGAAACAGTATTCTTTCATTTCAAGAAATTTAATTTTTAATGGGATTTTCCTTTTAGCGAAGGTTGCATACCCAGACTACTAGGATACTGTTAGAGTAGGATATACTCAGGGTAGGAGTAGAGTAGGATATACTCAGGGTAGGAGTAGAGTAGAATATACTAAGGGTAGGAGTAGAGTAGGATATACTCAGGGTAGGAGTAAAGTATGATATACTCAGGGTAGGAGTATAGAGTAGGATATCCTCAGGGTAGGAGTAGAGTAGGATATACACAGGGTAGGAGTATAGGGTAGGATACTCAGGGTAGGAGTATAGTAGGGTACTCAGGGTAGGAGTAGAGTAGGATATACTCAGGGTAGGAGTAGAGTAGTATACTCAGAGTAGGAGTAGAGTAGGATACTCAGGATAGGAGTATAGTAGGATACTCAGGGTAGGAGTATAGTAGGATATACTCAGGGTAGGAGTATAGTAGGATACTCAGGGTAGGAGTATAGGGTAGTATACTCAGGGTAGGAGTAGAGTAGGATACTCAGGGTAGGAGTAGAGTAGGATACTCAGGGTAGGAGTAGAGAAGGACTAGGATACCAAGGGTAGGAGTAAAGTTGTGTTACTTTAGTTGAAGATATTGTTTTTGTTTCTCTGACTGTTTCCCCGTGTTGTTAGAATTGTCTAAAACTAAGATGTTTATTTCCAATGAAAAGAATTCTACTTTTCATTTCTAAATTAAATCTAGAGAAAAAGCAGTGCGAGGGAAGATTAATTATAGCTTGCAATAGAACACTATATGTGTGGAAACCAACTGGAAGTTTAAAGAAAGCTTGGAATGAAATAACGCGGCATTTATTTTAAACTAATAATATTTCTTTACTAAAACAATAAACTGTGAGGGGAACCAAATTTATGAAAAGCAAGAAGTAGTTGAATTGGGTAGACGAAATTAGTTTTACTACAAATTCTTGTTTTTTAATCCCTATATCTTTGCAAAACCAAAAGAACTGAGTTTGTGCCAAAACTCAGTTTTTTTTTTTTTACTTTTTTGGTCCGGACTCTGTAGTTTTGAAGAGCAGAGTTACTGAGAATTATGGTTTCCTTTATTTAAGTCTAACGGAAAAAAATATGAAAATATTTATCTTAAAGATAAAAAGAAGGAACGCACAGGATTTGCTATTTCGTATTCGTCTAGCAATTACAATGTTTATTGGGACACCTTGTATTCTTTGAAATAAAATAATTTGAAATAACTTCTCTAAAATAACTGGCTCTTTTGAAATAAATCCTTTGGGATAAATCCTTTGGGATAAATCCTTTGGGATAAATCCTTTGGGATAAATCCTTTGGGATAAATCCTTTGGGATAAATCTTTTGGGATAAATCCTTTGGGATAAATCTTTTGGGATAAATCCTTTGGGATAAATCTTTTGGGATAAATCCTTTGGAATGAACCAATTGGAATATGTATGGGAAATCAGAAATATTTATTTTGAGGGCAAATTTTTTTTATTTCAGAGCATTTTCAAAGTATATAAAGGGGCTTTTTCTAAGGGTTATTTTTTTGTTGGGCAGAAAACTTTTTAGTTTTGGAGTAATTACTGTTAATGTTGGGTGTATCTATAAACATTTGGGGATAGAAATGAATCAAATTTATGTGCAAATTATCAATATAATATATATTTATTTATATAATATAAATTCTTTAAAAGGGGGAAAATTTAAGTCTTATGGGGCAATTTGAATAAGAATGTGTGATGTATAATTTAAAAAATCCAATTTTGGAGCATTTTTTTAGAAAAAGGGGAAAATTAAAAAGAATCTGATTCTGAGCTTATATTGAAAAATGCTATAATGGAATTTGAGTTTGCTTTAAGAGTTGGGGGAATAAATGAGTGAAGGTAAAAATAAATTACTGTGGTGGCCTCAGACAATTAGTTACATTTCTAACTATACGGACCCCTGTAACAAAATTTCTTGCCCCCCCTCATAAAGGGGGGGCCTGGCCCCCCTGCCCCCCCCCTAGTTGCGCGCCTGGACTCCCAATAACCATAAGAGACACTATAATAATTGTCCCTTAACTCCCATGTTTATTGGGATACCCTGTATGTAGAAATATGTTTAGTGTAATATATAATAATATCGCCGCAATATGTTTCATATATTTATTGAAGACAAATATCCTCAATAAGGTGCTGGAATAATACTTTATTGTAAAATTGAATTATGCATTTTTTGTACTTTAACAATGGATTATTCAAAAATAATTTACAATAACAATAGAAACGGTAATAATGTGTAATTCATTACTTAAAAACAGTTACATAAAAAAATAAAGAAAATATTCATATGTATTGATTAAACATTACAAACATTTTGTTAAAATTACTTTGAATAATTCTGTTCACAAATTTGTCCAAAATAATGAAACTATTTTTATTCATGTTAAAGTCTGCATTGCAGATTTTCACAAGCAATTTATTTGCAGTAAAGTTTCAGGGCAATTGAGTGAGCCAGGCTTGGAATTGATATTCAAAGATTTAAAAACCAGAATTTCAATTTAGATATTTTCAACATATCATATTTTCTTGTATTCACAACAAATACAAATACAAAATACAAAAAGCAGCGCATTTTTCATCAAAGATATAAATTGAATTTATATGAATATATTTTCTCAACAAAACTATTTTCAAAATGAGTGAATAGAATAAAAAATGCTGGCAACTTTTAACTGGTGGATATCGGTATTCATTTCTTGAAATCCTCTTTTACTTAATCTTTAGATTAAATAATGCTAGTTCTCCACTTGTTTTTAGTCTCCAGAGCTGAAAACTTTAGAATGGTGGATATCGGGATTAATGCTTAATCCACTCTTTTTCTTAATCTTGAGATTAAATATGGCTTGTTCTCCTCTCATTTTTAATCTTTAGATTAATTATCCGATCAGGATTAAGGATAACCCATTCTAAAGTTTTCAGCTCTGATTAATTAAACGATCGGGTTTAAGGATATCTCATTTTAAACTTCCCAGTGTCCGAATTTCATGAATTTAAGCCGCGTCTCAAATCCCCCCAAAACCGGTTTCAATTGAGAGCCGGCTTAAATCTTGAAAAATTGAATACAATTTTAAGTGAAAACAACCATATTTAAGCCGCGGCTTTAATTTGAGCCGTGGCTCAAATTCTTCAAATTCGGCCTCTGAGCTGAAAACTTTAGCATGGAGGATATCGAGATCAATGCTTGATCCTCTCTTTTTGATAATCTCAAGTCTAATTTAGTCTTTAGATTAATTTTAGAGATTATAGATGCGCGTTTTTAACTTTTAAAAAACCGGTTTTTAAAATTCTCGCATTTGTGGTGTCATATCAATTGGAATAATGATCAATTGAACGAACTTAAATTTTGGATTAATGTTTATTAAGACTAACGTTTAAAAGGACTATAGTCCTTTAATGTGATAAAATATGCTTTTTAATAAGTACAAATTTCATGATTAAATTTATATTTTTTAAAAGCTATAAAAGTCGGCTTGTGAACAGCTTACTAGTTCGTTCAATCGGATAGAGGATATTCAAATTAAGCGATCAGGATTAAGGGTATCCAATTTCAAAGTTTTCAGCTCAGAAAAAATTCGGGTCGGATAATGCGCTATAATGTGACGGTAAAAATTTTTTTGGGTCTTAAGCTAAAATGTCCTTATGAAATATCTTGATGTTAAAATATGGAATTTTCGCGAACATTGAACAATTCTCGGGAATATTACATTAAAGGACTATAAGATTTTGATGATGATATGCAAAACTTTAATTGGCATTTCATGATTCTGTTAATTGTATACTCCGAGCCATTAATCCGGTATTTACAATCTTAAAAACAAGGAATTTAAAACTCAATCACAGGTGTAATCCGTAGGCTGAATTCAAAGAATTTGAGCCACGGTTCAAATATGGTTAGTTCCACTTAAAATTGTATTCAATGTTTCAAGATTATTAAGCCGGCGCTCAATTGAAACCGGTTTTTGGTGGATTTGAGACTCGGCTCAAATTCATGAAATTCGGACTCTTGTTTAAGTAGAAGTACACATTTCAGTTGACTGTTTAGTACTAATTTCCGGCTTAATATCTAATTGGTTGATAAGATAGATAGATGTCACCGCCGCATCCGTTGCAACTTTGGTTCTGAAGCGTCGTCAAGCACGTGACTGAACCCTGATTGGAGCAGACGCTACCGGAAACTTGAAACAACTTAAATATAAGACATGAGTGTCCAAAAGTCCAAAAAGTCTGAAAAGTCCAAAAAGTATGAGTAAGTGGCGAAAGTGATGTCTTCAAATGCTCTTGAGGTTTTAGAAAACTGGATCCAGACTTGGTAAGAATAGGATTTTAGAAGTTTAAATATTTTTGATATTTTGATATTTACGTAAGATTTTCGCTTCAACGATTTGTTGGGATTGAGGTTTTGTGTGTAAACTTTAAATTTAGGTTTATAAATCTTTATAAGTCTTTAGTACAACTTACAATAAATCAAAGTTACTTTCTTCTTAAAAACTAAAGCTGAAAAAGTTATAAAATGTACATGTCTATGGCTACAAAAAAGTATGAGTGAGTTAGTGTGCCAAATGCCATACTGATTTTGCGATATTTCAAGGTCGTCCCAGTCTTGAAAATTTATGAAACTTTTAATAGCAGTCTGGATCTATATGACGTATACCTATG